ATTTGCTTGTAGTTACAATAACTCAATATTCCATTGGTTCCCTAATAACTTCCATAGGTAAACATAAACAGTTAATAGATTACAACTGGAATTTACAAAGGAATTCGAATATAAATATTCATATAAAACACTGTATTGCAGGTTAATATCCCGAAGTGAGGAAAAGAAAATTTGTCACGTATGGTTAAAAGATTGAAAACAGTGTAGCACCAAGAAACGCATAATGTTTTGGAGTTTTATAGAAAATAATTTCTTGTCTCTAACTAATTAACTTCAATACAGAATGGCATTAAACTTGTTAAGACTCTAATTGGTAAACCTATATACGCTATAAAGCTAACACGGTACTAATAGTTTCAATAACATTCCTAAACATAATTTTTATGATGCAAAACGAATGCTTAAACATAACAGTTGAATCTGAAACACAATCAAATCATACTTCGCAGCACCAGTAAATGTTTAAACAGAGAAACAGTTCATTTGTCAAAGTAATCAAAGTCAAAACCTTTATCCTCAATTCAGCTTTAAATATTGAAAAATAAATACGACCTCAATTTTTTAAATTATTACAGTTTCCAATTTTTATTTTAAGTTTACCTTATATATTTCCACAAGATATTTACGCTTTGATGGAAAACACGTAAAAGTACCTATCAATTAGAGAATAAGATAATTTAAGTTATGATACTAATGAAATATTAAACAAAAAAATTAGACGCAAAGTTAAGCTGTGTATCTAAAGCAAAATTGTTATGGTATCGCTAAGAATTTGACAAAAGGTTTAACACAATATTTTCATTCATGCATCATTCCGTATCGAATTAGTTTTTTACGTTTACTGGCGGTTTTATTCAGTTTTCCATCGGATAATACTCAGTTTCTTTGTAGTTCTATCACTAAGCCCCCTTAAATTCTTCGTGTACGTGCGAATGCCCGATTAGGAAAACGTGGGTTCAATGTTTATTTCAGGTTACGTTTAACAGTTTGCGTGTCTTGGGTTTGAAACTTCGTAACCGACGCAGTATGTCATCTAGTGATGTAAATTGCTTGAAATTGTATCCAATAAAAAAAAAAAAAAAAAAAATTAAAATGCTCCCTGAATCAGAAGTCATTAAAAGAATAAACATTAGTGCAAGCATAATCGAAATTTTTTTTTAAATGTACAAAATTGATATATTTTCTGCATATTTCTTTCCTTGTCTACATTGGTGGTTTTTTTTTTTCACTGAAGGAATCACAAATGGAAGTATTCTAAGGATTTAAGTACAATTAGTCCGAACCGATATTATTTGTAGGTGTGACGGGAATCAACTCTGTCTGTCCCTCCTGTACCGAGGTCCAAGACGCTAACAAATAGGCCATCAACATTCCCATATTAAGTAATTACTACTTTTTACTAGCATAATATGCTTAGTAGTAAAAAGTTTATTAATCATCATTCTACCTACGGTCAGTAATATAGTCCGGGAACGCCATTTTTACTTCCTTACTATAAAGTTTTATGAAAACGTCCCTAAGTCAGCCATAAAAGTACTTTTATTAATGTTTTGAACTGTATTGGATAGTTTCAGACAGTTTTACAGCCCATTATGAAATTCCACCCTAATACACGTTATTCATAACAGTATAATTAACAAGTACTAATTATATGTCAAAATCTACTTACATATGCATGCCTGAAGGTGTCAAACGTAGTATTTTTCCATGCTGTACATGTTTCGAGCCGTTACAGCTCATCATCACCAGCATTATATATTATTTACATGAATCCGATCGTGGGATGTTTGTCGGATATTTACAAACACTCTCTGGCATACCTAAACAAATAGATTTTTACATATAATTGAATGAAAACAAGTACTAAGTTTACTAATACAGGGACAGAAAAAGAAATTCTTGGACGAATTCTAACAAATTGTATTTTGACCCCTAGGGAAATCATAATTAAAAAGTTAATCGGTCCCGGGTCTAGGTCTTTATGTGCGATCCTTCCCTTTGGGATATTTGCTATAACTAGAACCATTAGAACCATTATCACCTAAGCTTTTGGATCAATTCATAATCAGGTCATCCACCGGGTAGTGTGTATTTTATGGATAAATTCAAGGTAAAGCTTTGCTATTAATTTTCACATTAAATGATTTTGCTTGGGTTCACAGACAGCTCCTTTAACAAAATACCTTTAATCTTTAACCTTTTTAACCTTTTTTTGTTAATATCTTTAACAAAACAGGGATCTTAGTGGCAAACATTTTGGGAGCAACTCGCCAAGATTCAATCATGTAAAAACCTAACATAAAATAATAGTCAAGAGCACTCTCTGAGATTGGTCCCTAAACTCTCTCAACTGACAATACAGTTATGAGACACTGATATTCGACTGCAAGTAAAGTTGACAAGTTTTTAAATCAATCCGGTTATTTTGAGTAAGCATTTATTATATAAGTGAGTACACATATATAATGTTAAAATGTATATGTGTTTATTTTTATTGTTCATTTTGTATGCGATTAACAATATTTCATTCAAAAGAATTGATCGTACTATATACGAGAACATGACATTCAGTTTACGGATATAGAAGACATGATCACTGATTAAAGGTCAATAAGCTAAGTAAGGTACCTACTTGTTCCTGTTAGCCTTAGCAAAGGAATCTTTGTACATTTGTCACGTGATTGTATTCCACGATCTTTAGCAAAGCTCTTGTTTTGGAAAGTTTAAATTCAACTCTATGTAAGAGGTTAATAAAACATTTTAACTCCTAAATAGAGCACAACATTACTTTTAACTTCTTTTTAGGCTCAAATAAATCATCATACTAATATTATAAATGAGAAAGTTTGGATGTATGGATGTATGGATGTATGTTTGTGACAAGTGAACGCGAAAAATACTGGTCGGATTGGGCTGAAATTTGGCATGATGGTAGCTCACATTCCCGATTAACATATAGGCATATTCTTATTTCAAAAATCCTTTTGGGCTCCGCCCCAGTGGCTCTGGAGTTTCCCATGTTAACCTTATGAGAAATGGAATTATTGAATCTTGACAGCTGTTTCAATTAAACAAGTTGGTTCTGTTCTATGATGTTCAATAGCATTAAAGTTACAAGGATTACCAACAGGGTGCAGCACTCTATTATTTCTTTTACATTTATGACAACAGCTAATTTGCAAACAAAAGGTGAGTGAGCGTAGCGAACGAACTTCAACCTGGAGGCGAGTTAGCGTAGCGAACGAGCTAATCTGAAGGCAAGTGAGCGCAGCGAACGAGCTCCAACCTAAAGGTGAGTGAGCGTAGCGAACAAACTTCAACCAGGACGTGATTGAGCCATGCGAACGAGATAATCTTGAAAATTAAGAAGTTAAACGGGGCAAAGCCCGTGGGTTACAGCTAGTTGTATATACTTTTAAGCTTAATAAGAGTTTCTAATATAGTTTAAAGCTTACTTGCAGTATTAGATTTAAACATTGTTGAATAGAATCTGCAGTCACTAAAGTATTGGTATGTAGACTACTTACTCATACGTATTTTTATAATCTCATAAACTATATTTAAGGCCTGCACTACTAAAATTAATCAACTTTAGCAGAAATATTTTCCATGCAAGTAAATCGGATTCGGGAAGATGCATAGGTGACTCAATATCAACAACGGTTCGATACTTATCATTTATGGTTCACGGTCAGGTAAATCCTGTTTGGTAACTATAATATTATTTAAGGTCCCTGACTCTAAGTAAAGGTAATACTATATGCTTTTGTAACATAACGTAGTATCAATTACATGTTATTGGTTATAGAACAGTTAAAACTTACAATTACGTTGCGCGGTTTAGACATTAAATTTGATTTCTGCGACTGCATTTCCAAGGTGTGTTATACATTGGTGGATATGAGTGAAACATTAGCGTAACATTAATGAGAATATAGCTTTATTACTGACAAAGCTCAGCTGTCTCTTTGTCCAGGATATTAACTAAAAGCCCAATAATCAAGGACAGAAGGGTTTAGGATAAAACCATGAAAAGAATACTACCCTTCCTCCAAACGATCAGCGTTTGTCCGATAGTTGGGCGAGCACTAGAACAACCCAAGCTACCCAGTACCTTAGCTACACAGTTATAACAATATTAGTATAAACCCTCGGTGTTTCTGTTTGAAAAGCAGCTGAATCTTTATGCTACATTATATTTTGAAATAAACATTTTTGTTATTCTATCACTAATTTCCTAAGCTCAGTTAAGTGTGTAAAAGTGACAGTACTGATAAAGCACAGCTGTTTTGCTGTTGCGTAATAATGGTAACAGTACTCGGCTACGCAAACGCAACAGGTGTTTTTGCTGTAAAGAGACTGGGTTCAAAGTTTTTTATTTACTAATTGCTTTGCATGAAATGCAAAATTGAAATGCTATTGGTTTAGAAAACGTATACAAAAAAGTAAAATACAAATATATAAAAGTGTAATTAATTAAATACGAATTTCATGTAGGAATACCTATTATTAAGTTATAACTACCGCAATGCAAAATGTTGAATTACTTTTAAACACATATTGACCAAAGAATAATTTTGTTCTTTTTCTTGCAAAACGTTGTAATTTATAACAAATTCCCGTTAGGAACATATTACGTTTATTGTGATATTTCATTAGAAATAAACGTATGGCAAGGTTAGGACAAACAGTTTTAGACTAAGTATTATTTAAAAACAAACATTTTGAAAAAAAAAAAAAATTCTGCTTACCATATCTGTAGCCTAGATTCAGCATTTACTATCAGAATATGTATAAACTCCTTTTATATGTATACAAATTTGGTACGCCAAGGCATACAGTAGAAATAATGTTTATCGATACATAGAGTTACATATTAGTACTAGTTAAGGTTTGAGCTGGCTTAGGCTACAGTTAGTTACGTCAACACATATTCAGCTGTGAGATAATTGTATGGCAAATACTGATAGAGCGGGTAATAACATTAGTAGATATACCACTGTGTGTGGCAATGGTAACGTGTCTGCTCAATATGGAACTACTGGTCGTGTTTATATTAGGTAAGTAGAAATAAATAAATAAATATATACTTATCAATCGTAAAAAAAAATTTGATAAATAAAAAAATAAATGATAAATTTACGAAACAAATTTTTCTTGGGAGATAAAATATAGAAATGGACTGGAGTCACCCATAAACCTTATACATTGGGTTCTGTCACGTTAAAAATGGTTGCAAAAAGCCATTTCATTACGTCACTTTTTGCGATACAATCTAAGCAAAGATCTTATTACCATTCTGAACAACATCGTCCAGCAGTGTTTCGTCTTAACTTTCACTTGATGTAGTGTGAATCTCATCAATACAGATTTGTATTAGACTTGCACACTTAATGAATGCATTTCCAAACCCAAACCAGTATGTTTAAAGTTTAAAGTTTAGTTTGGACCAACAGTTTCAAAGCCTGTTGTCTAAGAGCGTACAAGTGTTCTAAGGTCCTCAAATAGCTTAAACTAAACTTTTGGCGCTCCTAATTGACCAGTAGAACCTAATATGTATCACTTCTAAATACGTAAACCACGTGTTCTGTTAATTTATGAAAATTTATGGAGCAAAAACAACAGAACGTTTACAGCTAATTGTTAATACAATTGCTTACTTAATACAATGCTTTGTTAATACATTACTAACTGTTATAATTTTAACTTACCAAAATATATTATTTTGTAATTTTATTTATTGCGCTTAACTCATGTATTATTGAATAATTACTTCTGTTGTAATAGCAAAGCCAAAGTATCTTAGCATGAAGTTACTAAAACTAATTTATCACTGACAAATCCATGTCCACATAGTCACTATTCAACAAAGAGAATTATTACAGACGTCTTTAAAATTAAAAGCTTGAACGAGATTAGTTTTCTGAAGGCTCGAATGTTTTTAGTGTGAATTTATCACTAAAAGTTTAAACATATGTGTTTGTGATATCATCGTTTTTAAAGCATTGTAAGATTTTAAAATCTTAAAACTCTTCCACTTAGAAAACTTCATAGGCTTAGTAGTTTTGCTACATCCATAAAATATTGTTAGGAATTAAATCATGGGTATATAAATTCCTTATAGACTTGAAAATGTAAAAATATCTGTCCATAAAGTTTGTAAAACCAAATCATAGTCATGAAAGTGAATGTAATACCACATTCAGCAAGAAACGGCATGGTTGTTACAGTTTCTAGTTTACATGTCTAGTTTACTGGTTAGACGAGTGAATCATAATAGATGACCCCTGTGGGGATTGCTACGGTGATTTATTGCATGTTTGTTGAACATCCAGACAAATACGTCATTCTAGTGTCCATGGATTTTAATTTGGATGGATGTAAACGTTATGATTGGGTTCCACTGCAGGTGTTTAATTTACAACGAACAAACAACGCTTAGATGTTATACATTTACACTACAGAATATGTGTTAAAAATACGTTTAAATACGTTTAAAAAAACGTGTTAAAAATATGTCAAAAATACGTACTAACTACGTTATTTCCCCCTTCCTAATGTTTTGCAAAGTATATTATATATTTATGGACTAAAAATCATAAAAATACTTCCAAAACTGTAGAAGTGATGCCAGTTAAAAGCTAACTCTGGTATACTATTTCATATCTGAGCTACGTTTTGTCAGTCAGTCAGTGTAACTGATTTGACAGTTTTATCTATCTATTCGTCTATTCATAGACATTAATGTCTCTTCTATACATTCGACAAGTCCTATGTGTTTACTTATATTTAGGCCTACTTGTATACTCATTTATTCAACTATCAGTAATATACCATATTTTAAAATATTTAATAGGGTTAAATTTAAATTAAAACACAAATAGAAGTTGTATTGTAAGAGTTGTAGGAATAAAATACGAAAAATAGATGCATACATAAAAAATGAGGTAAAGCAATATAACTTTGCTTAGAACTTTTGAAACAAGAACTCAACAAACTTTTGTCCGTGACCCACGTTACAGATATCACAGTTGCAGTCATGTCCCGACCATTTGTCTGTGGTGGAAAATATCTCTTTGGTCGTCGCAACTCTTGTCGAACACTTTCTCTCAAATCATTGATGGACTTCAACCACATTTCGTTACGATCTTTTGTTTATTATATTAAAATACAATTTGATTAATATGGTTTAATAGTGATTGCATAGCCATAGTCGTCAACCACGTGCAGTTATATCTTAAGAACTTTTGAAATTTATTTATCAATTGTACATTAGTTTCAGAAATTATCAAATACAAGATACTAGTAAACAATAATTTCTGGTTTGCACGAAATTAAAATATTAAAAACTGGTTTACTTGACCAAGGAAAAGTATTTATTTTGTATTCTATAAGGTAGGATATGTTTATCAATATAAGAAATTGTCTCTAGTTGTTTAAGGCTTGTTATCGTGTTCAGTTTCGTTTTTTAGATAATAAAGATATCCCATAATATTTCTATAACTTTTTCACGTAAACTATTAGCAAACGATTTGTGAATCAAAACAGGAAATATCTACGTATAATTATGTTATACACCAGTCTATCGTTGTATTTTAAACTTTAGATTATCTTATACTGTTTGGATTTTAATAAGCAATATATAAAAGTAAATAATGTATAAACACGACCATTTTAACCTTTTAAGACAACAACCATTATCCTATAACGTTATATAAAGCACGCCATCAAAATATAACTGAAAAACTAACTAGGGATGCGTTATTATTATAACACCAACACATAAACATATATTAGTATAAACATTTGTAATGATGTTTCAAGGTGATTCGATGTCCACACAATCTGTTACTAACAGTGTTTCGTCACATTGATTTATAAGGATTTGTATGAAAATAGTGTAGAGTACTTTTATATAAATTTTTGCACAAGAGGCAAACCTTTTTTTATTTTTCATATCACTCTAAATAGCAGAACACAACAGTTAGATCTGCTTTATTAGCAAACTTTCGTTTTGTATTTTACATTATTCTCTCCTATATTAATACGCAGAACTAGATATTCACAGTTCAATGATGTAAAAGAGTGTAAGTAGTTGAACGATTAACAGTAAGTAACAGTGTCATTGCTTATATTTTCAGACCTAACTGTAGATAAAATTTAACAAATAATAAATTCAATATGACACAATATAATTAAGCATAGGTTATTATCACAAAACACACGATCAAGCCATGACATACAGGTTATTATTAACTGAGGAAACATACAAAACTCAAACATGTCCTCAATCTCCCTCACTCGAGCAAAATTAACCAACCGCTGAATGCAGAGCTAATAAGCTAACCACAGAAACCACACAACTTTGTGACTGCTAGTTGTAGATCATTAAGCTTCGCAGATAGAGTGGGGGTGAGTATATTCATAAACGGATTTTAATATACGTAAAACAATGTATCTAGTTATCAAACGAATATAAAACTATTATTTATCGTTTTAAGTTTTGTCCGTTTGAAGGGTTGTTGTCAAAGTGTTAATCTCAGTAAGTAATTCCCTTCATATGGTAGTTAATGATACATACATAGTACGTCCATACCATTGACAATAGCATAAAAGAACCTTTTTTAAGAATAATTAAATAATATAAAATACAATCTTCCTTCAAAAAGATATTTTTTAACATAACCATCAAAATGTCGATCTTAAGATTTATACTGCAAGTTACACGTGTTATTGTTTCGTCTTAAGGTATTTCATTAACTGATATGGGTAAATGGGTTAAGTCATTTAAAAAAGTATAAATAATCCTTCTTACAATCAATTTCACTGTATTAAGCGATGGAGACAAAACACAACAAAAAAAACATAGTTTTGCACGCTAAATATCTTGAAAACTGCCATTAAATGCAGATTTTTCAATGTGAGAAAACTTAATCAAAACTAGTTTTAATAAGATTTTATTTATAAAATGTGTTTGATATTTTATATCTGAAACTTTGAAAAGTGTTAACATGTACAATTTCCTTTTAAAAAAGTTATGCCGTATCCAAAGACCTTAACATTAATACAAAACATATTATCAGTTTTATAGAATGGTTGTCATTAAGAGCTGGAACATTTTACCAGCAATATTGAATGCGAACCAAAATATGGTAACGTATTTTAAATTAACAATTACTGTGAAAACATAACAAAAACAACCAATTTGCGTTTCGTGTGGTTTATTATGCAGCCACAGGTTTTGGTTTGTTCTTGTATAATTAATTGCTAGATCGGGTATTACTTAAACATTTATTGAATTTACAATAATTTAAATATACAATTTCTAATTACCAAAGTGTATTTGCAATCTCTTAATGTAATGTTCTAGCCAATTTGCTTATGTACCTTTTAAACAAGTAAAAATCATTTTTAAATTAATTCGACCGTCCACTGTTTTTTGACCCTATCCAAAAGAGAAAATTCAATTAAATATTCCACTTTTAATTACATATGGATACCTAATCAAAGTTCGCACAAAGAACGTAAATTTTTTAAACTCAATATACCACCCAATGCTCTCTGTTAAGTGTATTGTGACATATTGCGTTTCTTGTCTGGTTTTGATATTTTTATGATATTTGTAAAAATAGTGAATTATTTGCATTATTAAAATTTATATAAACTGATCAATACATGCATCTATAGTCTATACCTGTGCTTTGGAGAACAGGGGTGATTTGAAGTAGGTAAATTTGGTTCTTTATACATTCGTCAAATGTGTACCTATTAGTTAGCCTTCCACAATTTATATTATAAACAAAACTCAATTGCATCACTTGGTTTGACTTTTTTTTAAGAATCTTTCTGTAAAATTGGTTAAGTTGTAAAAACATATTTAATTACCATAAGCGATATAAAAGGGATCCTGTTGCATGTACATACATTTAAAATAACATTATTTAATTTTTTTAAGTAGCTTACTAACATGTTTACTAAAGAAATGTTTACTCTGATATCCAACTCCATCGTTATATAAAATCAAAAGTATCAGTATTTTCAATCGCATAATTTGTCATAA